AAGAAGTTTTTTTATTGTAAAAAAAAAATTTTCAATTTTCTTAGCGGGAAATAGAGACTTATTCTTCTTGTGTATTAGATACTGCGGTTTCTAAGGTAGACAACAAAAAGAAATTCGAATTTTTAATGATTTAAAATTTTTTTTTATCCGGAAATGAAATAATGAAGTTAAAAAACGGATTTCTATTATTTAGTGATAAATTAAAAAACTTTGAAAAATAATAATTCGAATAAAAAACCGAAATGATGATCCAAGGGTGATTTTTAAAAAATTACACCTCAAAATCCCATATATACTTTGGAAGCATATGAGTATATAATTTAAAAAAAATAAATGTTTCAATCCAGATAAATATATATAATTAACTAATTTTTGGGTAAACATAATTCAAACACTATGAGATCGAACTAACTATATAAAGGTAGTCGTAAAATGCACCGTTCATTTCCGGTCCTGAGGGCTTTCAGGTTTTAGCTCAGACATAAAATAACAGACAAGACTTTTAAATCGTTATTCTTTTTCTTCTATATCTCTCAAACTTTATTACTTTTTTCTTCCACTTCATATTCAATTTTTTTTCTTTTTTTTCCCAATATAATTTAATATCAAGTTTAGACCTCTTGATGTATCTGTATCAGATGAATAATTTTTCTTAAGAATTTATCGAATCATTTTCTAGCAACAAATATAGACGAATTTTTTTAAAATAGAGGCGTTAGATCAATAAAATTTTTAACTTGGTTTATTAAATTTAAATAAAATTTCATAATTTTTGTTTTTTATCCCACCCACTCAATTTCTTTAGGATTATATTTGTCGAGAGTTGGCGTAGCGTATCTCCACGTCGGGAAGTTAGTCTTCCTTCTCGTTAAAATCACAACGACTTTCATCCGGTTGGATTACGTGTATTCTGTGAGACAAGAAACTTTTCGAAAAATATCTTCTCGGACCATGTTTTATTAGATATTAGAAGAATATAAATATAAAAAAATTACCGTCAAAAAAATTAAAATTTTCCGAGAGGAAGTGAACTAGTTCCCAATTTTTCTTTTATGCTTTTTTTTTCTGTTTGCTCTGTCTAGTTTTTTTTTATATCATAGTTAGTTGGAAAAAAAATCTTCTTTTCTGAGATACGCTCGAATTTTTTCCACAAAAACACTTACTGGTTTCATAAAAATTTCTAGACATATTCAAAATGAAAAACATCACTTCCGTCAACGTGCTAAACACTCTCATTGATATTTTATTGTGATTGGAATATTATTTCACAAAATTAATGAATTGATGGATAAGTTTTAAACCCATTAGAACAAAAATACAAAACTAACTCAACGCAAAACGCACAAAATGTAATGAAATTTATAGATAATTATTTTTATTACGACAAAATAATAAAAATAAAGAGTTATAATATTGAAATTTATACATTATAGTTAAATACGATAGATAATAAGTAGTTTTATAATAAAAGAGAAAGAGAGTAAATGCATAGAGTACACGAGCAATGAGCCGTATCCTGCTAAACTGTTAAGAAGGAAGTGGTTCATTGCGACTACCGCGTCCACATACACTTTAAATGCCGAAACAACCTTATCACCATTTGTGACTACATATTATAACCGTTACACTATACAATACTATCTCACAATTGTATTATTCGAATTTAGATTACACAAATTGACTTGATAAAATTTTATTAAAAAATGATTTTATCATCAGTCAATTTTAAATAAATTTTTTAACTTAAAATCTATGACAACATGGTCATTGGTGTTGCTTTCCTTAATTTAGCTAAAGCTTTTGATGCTGTTAAACATACTATTTTATTGGACACATTCTAGAAATATGGTATCAAAAAGATTGCTAATTATCTAATTAAACTAATATTTAAATAGTAGAACACAAATAGTTAAATAAGAATTGCTTTGATAAATAAAATTATGTGAAAATCCCTCAAAGTGCTATTATAACCAAACCATTAATGGAAATACAAAAAAGAACGTTAAAAAAAGTTATTGTGAGACGAAAGGCTCCATTAAATATAAACTAAACAATAGTTTATTGTACTATTATGAGGAATCGAAGCAACTATATAATAATTATGCAGGTGAATTTAGTTATAAAAATATTGAGCTTTCTAAAATTACCAAGTTTAGATATTTTAAAAGTCCTTACTATAAAGCCATTAAATATTAAAATTTTTTGCCTGATGAATTAAAAAATGTAACATTGAGTAATAGAAAGAATTAGGAATACATTTAAAAAAAAACGCCATTCGGCCATACCCGAAATGGAAGGTAGATTTCATAGAATGAATTATCGTCTTATCTCAATAACTTTTGTTTAACATGGATAGGTTGTATTACACATTGCCTGAAAATGGTTCAATTGAACTCTTAACTTCGATAAAATAACTAATAATGGTCAAAAAGTTAACATTATATACGTCAAATAAGAAGTGTTTTTATGAGTTTTCGAGTAAATTTATCAAAAATGAGCTATCTTTTTGCTATTAAAAGTTATACATAAATGAAGTCACCGAAAACGTAATTTTTCCTATTTTGATAATTTTGAAGAGCTACTATTTCTGAACTGATCGAAGGATTTCGCTCATTTTAAGGCTCATCCAAGCTAATTGTCAAATGAATTTGTATACTAAATTTCATTGGGATCTGTTACGAATTCTCGACAGAATAACATTCATAAGTCGCCTGCACTACACATTGCCTAAAAATGGTTCAGTCAAACTCTTAACCTTGATAAAATAACTAAAAATAGTCAAAATGTCAATGTTATATACGTCAAATTAAAGGCAACTTCATGAGCTTT